GTATTTAATTAAAGGCAAAATAGATAAATTTTAATTAATTTATATGAATTAGTTTGTTTACCACAGTTGAATATCTAAATATTGAATATTTTGCAATTTATTTAAGAATTTCGATATCATTTATGCTCCTTAATCAGTGATCTAATTCTCTCTATAAAAATTATAAAATTTAAAAAATAAATATTTCACTCAAATTTCTTCTATAAAGATTTTATGAATAAAAATAAATTAATAAATAATTATTATTAAATATTTCCATGAATAAATAAGCTAGCTTAGCTTTAATTTTTTAAAATATTTATTTAAATTTTTGATGAATTAAATTTATCACTTTAAATTATTATTTATGATTAAATTTTAGAAAATAATTCTCATATAATTTCTTTTGTTTTAATTAATTTTTGATTAGCTTCATTATAATAACTGGATTTAAAAAATAGTTTAAATTTGAAAATTAATATTTAATTTACATTCTTTTAATAATATTTTAAATTAAATATCAATAAATCTTTTAAATTATTAATAATGTTTTTAATTTTAAGTTTTAAAAATTCAAAATAAACAAATAAAAATAATTAAATTAAATTTTACTATAAACTGAGTTTTAGTATTTTTAAATTTTACAAAGTGCCTAAATTCATTGAAATGTTTGATGTTCCCAAATCTCCAATCTTATTATTTCTTTAATTAAAAAAATTCAATTAAAAATAAATTCGAAAATAAGATCAATTTTATCATTTTATTTAATATTTTTATCTAAAATCAACTAATAAATTGAATAAGCTACCCTAACAAAAGTTATAAACATTAAAGATTGCTGCAGTTAGATAGCCCAGATACTAAGTTCGAAACTCCTTAATTTCCTATCTTGTTATTTCTATCATTAAAATAGATTTGAATTAAATTAATTCATCAAAATTAAAATAAAATATTATTAATTAAAAATGTTTTTAATTTAATATAAAAAGAAAGAATAAATAATACTCTAAAAAGAGATTCAAAAATTTAAGTTCTGTACAACTACTTAATCCTAAACCCAAATTTGTTGCCCCATCATCACCAATTTTGTTTATGCTTTTAAATTATAAAATAAATTAAATATTTCAATTATCAATAAAAAATAAAATCTTAAATAAATAAATATGAATTAGTTAGTATACTAAAGTCTAATTGATAAATTAGTGAGACATTTACAATTACTTATTCCTCTTGCTATACTAGATACGCCTTAAGCTCTTATATTGTTTTAACTTTTATTTAAAAATAACTGTTAATAATTGTTTAATTTATTTAAATATTTACCATAATTCAAGATATAATATTTTTAGATTATTACATTTGCTTAATGCTACTCCTAAGTTTGTAGCTTCTTAATCATCACAATTAGTTTTCCTTAAATGATTATTTTTATATCCAAAACAAAATTAGAATCAAGTTATTTATTTTATTGATATTTTTTGTTTTAATTATTGAAATAATCTTATTCTATTTTAACAAAAAATAAAGGCATTTATTTTAAAGTTGGCCTAAACTAAAAATCTTTATTCGTTAATTATTCAATCTCACAATAATTAATTATTTATGTTTTAATAGGAAAATTTGCATTGAATTATGAAAAAAAGATTAATTTTAAATTATTTTCTAAATTTATTTTTACCATAAATAAATTTCTAGCTCAACATGATCAAGGAAATTAGACATCAAGAATTGTTGATATTCTGAAAAGCCTTCTTGAGCCATAAGATTCATTTATTATTGGGTTGAATTAAATTAATCTATAAAATCAGCAATCATTTATATTGAATACTTTTTTTTATTTAATTTGATAAATTAAATTTGTTTATAGATTTATAAAAATATCAATGAATTTTTAGAATATAATGAGATAATAAATATTAATTTGATATATTAATATATAGGTTGCTTCTTAATTAATTATTTTACCTTCTTTTAAAATTCTTTCTAAATTTTGTCTGATAGTTTAAAATAGTTAGACATATTTTATGCAAATGGTGAATAAATATATCTAATAAACTCACTCTAGAAGTATTTTTTTATGATTTCAAATTTTAATTCAATCGAAGAAAGACTTTAAATATCTTACAAAAAGTTATAATAAGATCAGCTCATCATAAATATTAAGAACTAATAAAGGTTCTTAAAAAATAGGTGATTTGTTGTTTTCAAAATTTATTATTTAAAATAATAAGTGATAATTGTTTTAATTAAGTAGTTAAATGAGTAAATCAATAAAATGTAATTATTTCAAATATTTATTTTAAAATATTTAAATATTTTCTCAAAATGAATTATAAAATTAAATTCAATGTTTTTAAGACTTTTAATTTTTCTACTTGAATGACATTAAAAATTTAAAAGAAAAGCAAAAATAAATAAAAACAATTGATATATTTTCAAAAAATAAATAATCATATTATCTATAAAATTAACAAAATATTTAATTTTTTAAAGTTAATGTTAAACTAAAATCTATCTAGCGTTAATATAGCAATTTATTTATATATATATTCATTTAAATTTTAAAATTAAAATATATTTCAATATTTGTTTAATTTATCTTAATTTTATTGATATTTGAAAAAAATGAATAATTTTTAAATAGTATTTGGTATTTAGAAAAATATATTTGAAATAAAAAATAAACAGTATATATTGATAGTAATGAGTTGAATAATTTTTATATATTGATGGATAAATAATTTATCCTTAATTACACATTTATCTACACATTTATAATGTTGAATTATGAAAAAGATACATACATAATCAGATTTCTTCTTTCACTTATTTATCTTATTGAAAAATATCTATCCCTTATATTTATTTTTATATGGAGAGAGAATTCTGTATTAATAAACAATTCTAATCATAAAAACAAAAGAAAATTATTAATTAAGTGTCATTTAAAAAGTAAATAATAATAAAGAAGAATACAAAAAAATAAAGAAAGGCATACAAATGGATAACTTATAACTTAGTAAATTATCAAATTAAAGTTGTATTTTTCATCCAGATAAAAAGATCACTTTTATACAAGTAATTGGAGTCTCTAATTAACCTAATGCAAACATATTTCTCTGCGATTAATGCTTCGACTAGGATTTAGACTTAAAAGGAGTTAACTACATGACTATCTCTCAAATCATTGAAAAAGCAGAAACAGAATTCCAATTTAAATGGCCTCCTCTCAAAGATTAATCACTAATCAGAATGTTGCAATTGAAATCTTAGAATATTATATCTACAGATAAGATTTTAGACTAAATCAACACCTTTTTCACCCATTTCAAGGATGAAATCATTAAAAAAATAGATTTCAATCAAAAAATAATGATTAATCATGTATAGGATCTTCCTTTCAATAAAGAGCAAATCATGAAAAAGTATTAGCAAATATCTTAAATTTTAAGCCTAAGGAATTTACTTTTAGAGAATTAGAAAGAATCCTTTGATAAACACCAGTAGAAGTGCAAAGACTTTATTTATTCATTTGAAACTAAAAAAGAAAGCAATACAAAATAAATTGAGGAATTACTTAAATAAAGTGACTAAATAGAATAAATAATTGATTTTGACTATCTAAATGCACTAAAGCAGCAAGTTTTAGATTTTGTAGATGAAATTAAATTGAATGAAAATAAAGATTTTCTTGGCTAATCAAAATCTATTTAAAATCAAATTAGCGATAATTAACAAAGTATAAATAATAACAATAATGCAGAAAAATTGATGTAATTAATTTCTAATAAATCAAATTATTGTAACGAAGCGTTTTTGGAATCTGCGAGAAAAGAATTAACTAAATTAAATCAATTGCTAAGCAAAATTTAGTTTGATAATATTTTCAAAGAAAATAAACAACCAATACAATTTTCTTAAATAAATGATGAAAAGTTATAAAGTATTAATGAATATGTAGATAATTTGATAAAATTGGAAACTGATCAAAGTTATTAACAGCAAATTTAATAATCAGAAAATTTAACTAGAATAATAAATATCTTAAATAATAAGTTGAACTTTATAAATGAAAATTTCAAAAAATAATTTGTAAATTACTTAGTAGAGACATAAGTCTTCTAAAAGTAAATTAATTTTAGTTAGTTGCACAGTGACATTTAAAAATTAGAATGCTTGAAAAAACTAAATTCAGATTAAATAATTGTTATTTGTGAAATTATTTAAAAATAATAATTTGATGAAAATGATTTAGATAGGTATTCTTAATAATTTCCACTTTTTCAACTTTTGAAATGTAAGAAAAAAGATATTTTAAATGAAATTTTATTTGAAAAAAGTGAATTAAATGATGGCAAGTAAAGGATATAAATTAAATAAAATAATTATAAATAATTTGAAATCTATATTGATTAATCTAATTATTCTGGGACTTGTAAAGATACATCAACAAACTGTGTTTCATAAATGATTTTATAACCTTAAAAAAAATACATTTTTAGAATCTAATTATAAAATGTAAGTTCTACTCCTTATTTTTTATTTGGGCTCATGTAAAATTAACAAAAGAATAATTTATAGGGGTACAGTTAAAATTTAGGTTGTTATTTTTAATTCAAAGATGAAAAAATCTAATATTTGGATGATTATGGTATATCTAAATTTATAAAAGGCAACGAATTTTGCATGAGCAAAAATGATATGATAGAATTGAGAGTTTGGTAGGATGGTAAGTTGTTGCAGATTTTAGATTATCCAAATAAAAATTATAAAATAGAACTTAGAGATAATATGAAAGATAAATTTACAGAATTAAAAGATCTCTCATTATATTTTTGGTTATGTAATAATTTAGATAAATATATTTTAAGAGAAGCCTTTATTGTAGATGAATTTGAAGATTGAGCACTTTTTTTAATTTTAGTTAAGTATTATTTTATCAAATCAAATTATTCTAAAAAGAATATAAAAAATATGATAAAAAAATAATGATTCTAAAATATTTAAATAAAATTAATTTTAGTAATAATTAATTATTTTTTATTTCTTGTAGAAAAACTAATTTGAAATTATAATCTGTATCATTTATGCAACTGATTTTTATACAATTTTAAAAAACAACAATAAAAATCCTTCCATTTAAGATATATATTTGAAAGAAAATATTTTATAATATAAAATAAATAATTATCATTTTACAAAAAATCTAATTTATTAGATATGAAACCCTTTTGAATTTATATTCTATTATTTATTAATTAAAATATATTAATAAATATTTTTAAGATAAATCATTTAAATCCAGCAAAAAATTTTTTATTTAGCTTTATAGTATATTAAGTTTAAATAGTGAATGTTAAATTAATTTTCTGAGATATCTCTTCATAAAACTAAATATATAAATTAATATTTGATAATTAATTAATTATTATATTTATTTGTTCTTTTTAACCATTTATTATTAATTAATTAATTAATTAAATTTCATAAATTGCTATTCAATATTTTTGAAAAAAAAAATAAATGATATAATAGATTTAAAAATATAATGATTTAGTAAAAGTAATTATTAATTTTTTTATTAAAATCCTTTAAATTTATATAAATTAATAAAAAAAGTTTAAAAGCTCTTCACTTTTATGTCATTAGGTTCTCCATATTAATCTGAAGTATATTTAATTAAAAAAATTACTTTTATTATTATTAATATTTTTAATTTAATTTCAATTTATTTAAATAAATAATTTTTATTATTGAAATTATCATCATTATTTATTGACTTTTATTAAAACTAAAATTATTTATATTTTAACTTAATTTTCATATTTATTTATTATTCATTTTTTATTACTTGATATATTTTCTTCATTTTTTGCTATTAAAACTTACACTTAATAAAAGCTATTTATTTGTTTTACATTGTAATATTTTTAATTATAAAATTTAATTTAAAACATTAAAGTTCTTTTAATTTATTTGATTTCTTTTCCTTTTTCTTTTTTTTATGATTTCTTATTTTTTCGTTCATTGTTAATTTTATTAATTTTTAACTTATCTTATTATTTCATATTTTTTCTTCATTTTTTCCTCCTAATTAACTAGAGTGAAATACCTATTTAATTTATATCTTAATAAAATTATAAATAAAGCTAATTTTTAGAAAGCATTACATACCTTTTTTTTTGAAAAAAATAAATTTTGAAAACCTATGATGGAAAAAAAAATTCATAAAAAAATTTAAAATCTTAATTTTATAAAATGTAAAAACTGTTATAAAACTCACTTTTTCGAAATTTGTATTGTAACTTACTCTATTTAATGATATATTTTTTATTCATTTTTTCCTTCTAATTAACTATTTAATGTAATATTTTTTCTTCAATATTTAAAAAGTGACAATTAAATTGGTGCAATTGGTGCATCAGGCTTAGGTTCTGCTTTAGCAAATTGCATTAATCTCTCAAATTTGACACTTGAACTTAAGTAAAAACAGTTTATTTGTTTTGGATTGTGATATTTTTAATTATAAAAACTAATTAAAAACAATAAAGCTCTTTTTTCTTTTTCTTTTTATTGTGTTTACTTTTTTTTGTTCTTTCTTTGTAAATTTAGCTCATCATTTTATTTTTCAACTTTTGCTTTTATTATTTATTTCTTATTATTTCATATTTTTTCTTCATTTTTTCCTTCTAATTAACTATTTAATGTAATATTTTTTCTTCAATATTTAAAAAGTGACAATTAAATTGGTGCAATTGGTGCATCAGGCTTAGGTTCTGCTTTAGCAAATTGCATTAATCTCTCAAATTTGACACTTTGCCTTGAGTAAAAACAGTTTATTTGTTTTGGATTGTGATAATTTTAATTATAAAAACTAATTAAAAACAATAAAGCTCTTTTTTCTTTTTCTTTTTATTGTGTTTAATTTTTTTTGTTCTTTCTTTCTTTGTTAATTTAGCTCATCATTTTATTTTTCAACATTTGCTTTTATTATTTATTTCTTATTATTTCATATTTTTTCTTCATTTTTTCCTTCTAATTAACTATTTAATGTAATATTTTTTCTTCAATATTTAAAAAGTTGGAATAAAATTGGTGATAAAGGTGCATCAGGCTTAGGCTCTGCTTTAGCAAATTGCATTAATCTCTCAAATTTGACACTTGAACTTAAGTAAAAACAGTTTATTTGTTTTGGATTGTGATATTTTTAATTATAAAAACTAATTAAAAACAATAAAGCTCTTTTTTCTTTTTCTTTTTATTGTGTTTACTTTTTTTTGTTCTTTCTTTGTAAATTTAGCTCATCATTTTATTTTTCAACTTTTGCTTTTATTATTTATTTCTTATTATTTCATATTTTTTCTTCATTTTTTCCTTCTAATTAACTATTTAATGATATATTTTTTGTTCAATATTTAAAAAGTAGAAATAAAATTGGTGCAATTGGTGCATCAGGCTTAGGTTCTGC